GATATAAAGTTATACATACTCTACTGTTCAAAAGTTTGAGGCCAACATGTTTTTTTTTAAAGAAATTAATACTTTTATTCAGCAAGGACACATTAAATTGATCAAAAGTGACAGTGAAGGCATTTATAATGTTGTATAATGTAAGATTTCTGTTTCAAATAAATGCTGCTTTTTAACTTTCCATTCATCATATCATGGTTTTCACAAAAATATGAAGCAGCACTACTGTTTTCAACATTGATAATAATCAGAAATGTTTCTTGAGCAGCAAATCAGCATATTAGAATGATTTCTGAAGGATTATGTGACACTGAAGACTGGAGTAATGATGCTGAAAATTCAGCTTTGCATCACAGGAATAAATTACATTTTCCTATATATTCACACAGGAAACAGTTCTTTTAAATTGTAATATTTTTTTCACAATATTACTGTTTTTCCCATATTTCTGATCAAATAAATGCAGTTTTGGTGAGCATAAAAGCCTTGTTTCAAAACATGGAAAAGTCAACTGACCCAAACTTTTAACCAGTAGCGCATAAAGATATTTCACATATAAAATTGTCAACAATTCTCCTTTTAAGAGAATTTGAGGAGGAACATCTGAAATGACGTTCTAGGTTTATGACAGGTTTTATTGCTACAGTCTCTGAGCGTGGTATTGTACTGGACTGTATTATATAAACCTGTGTGTGTTTGAACACATTGTTAGGGAGATCATGGTTGCACGGCCTCTCTCTCTTTCTACCTTTGGGTGAGAGATTTACAGATGGCCTCATTTTGCAGCTCTGATGTCCAGCTGTTGGCAGTTCCATTACTAAATGATCCCTCTGTCAGATTGACATGCATCTGTCCTCTGCTTGGCCTGTCACTCAAACTTAATGTCACCATAGTAAAGCAGAGAAAGAGAGGATGGACTGAGGATGGGAGGAAAAAAATGAACTGCAACTCGATACCCATCTGTTTACTTATAATCTTCCTTTTGGGCCTCAATGCATGTGACTACGTGTGCTGTCTTACTGGAACTGAGATGGTTTTCTCTATATTTGAATATGCTATAAATGCACTGCTCAAAAAACTTAAAGGAACACTTTTTAATCAGAGTATAGCATCAAGTCAATTAAACTCCTGGGATATTGATCTGGTCAGTCAAGTAGCAGAGGGGGTTGTTAATCAGTTTCATCAGCTTTGGTGTAAATGAAATTAACAACAGGTGCACTAGATGGGCAACAATGAGACGACCCCCAAAACAGGATTACAGGTGGAGGCCACTGACATTTTTTTCCCTACTCATCTTTTCTGACTGTTTTTCACTAGTTTTGCATTTGGCTAGGGTCAGTGTCACTACTGCATGAGGCGATACCTGGACCCTACAGAGGTTGCACAATCCAACTGCTCCAGGATGGCACATCTATACGTGGCATTGCCTGAAGGTTTGCTGTGTCTCCCAGCACAGTCTCAAGAGCAAGGAGGAGATTCCAAGAGACAGGCAGTTATTTTAAGAGAGCTGGACAGGGCCGTAGAAGGTCCTTAACCCATCAGCAGGACCAGTATCTGCTCCTTTGTGCAAGGAGGAACAGGATGAGCCTACAAAATGACCTCTAACAGGCCAGTGGTGTGAATGTCTCTGACCAGACAATCAGAAATAGACTTCATGAGGGTGGCCTGAGGCCTGATGTCCTCTAGTGGGCCCTGTTCTCACTGCCCGGCACCGTGGAGCTGGATTGGCATTCGCCATTGAACACCAGAATTGGCAGGTCCGCCACTGCAGCCCTGTGCTTTTCACAGATGAGAGCAGGTTCACCCTGAGCACATGTGACAGACGTGAAAGGGTCTGGAGAAGCCGTGGAGAACGTTATGCTGCCTGTAACATCGTTCAGCATGACCAGTTTTGGTGGTAGGTCAGTGATGGTCTGGGGAGGCATATCCATGGAGGGACGGCACTGAACTTTACAGGCTAACAATGGCACCCTGACTGCCATTAGGTATCGGGATTAAATCCGTGGACTCATTGTCAGACCCTACACTGGTGCAGTGGGTCCTGGGTTACTCCTGGTGCACTACAATGCCGGACCTCATGTGGCGAGAGTATGCAGGATGAAGGAATTGATACCATTGAATGGCCCCCACGCTCGCCTGACCTAAATCCAGTAGAACACCTCTGGGACACCTCAGACTGCCCAGGAGCTCAGTGATGCCCTGGTCCAGATCTGGGAGGAAATACCCCAGGACACCATCC